CACGGTACTAGTATTTCTAAGCGATGCTTAATCATGGTCATAGGTACATCTTGGTGTCAAAGAACATTAGCAGAATCTCCTTCCTAGTAGGCTCCGTTCTAGCTATGATATAAAAAAATAAGACTTGCATACTTATTCAACTCTGTTCAAAATTTAGGAAAGCAAACAAATGTTACATCCAGGTACTATGACTAAACATTCACAGAAGCTGCAGTCACGTGTCAATTATGGATCTGCATGTATACATCACAGAGTTAAAATGCTGTACCATTCCTTTCAGTCAAGAAGATCATTGGTTAGCTCCCTATTTTATCCAGATTAAACAAATGAACAAGGAAAACACACATTCATTTATTGCCTATCTTTTAATGAGATAAGCAGCAATATAAAGTTAATCACTAAGTCATCAGAAAAAAATCGCAATGCCTTGGTTGTATCTGCAGATTCACTCAGAGGTTAAAGAACGCCTGGAAGTAGTTTTCTTTCCATTTGAATCAAATGAGTGTGGACTTAAGTGTTCCTCCAGTCCTAAAGTTTGCAATCTATATTACTCATCCAGCTTATTTCAGGGAACTGCTATGGGCTTCAAGTCAAGCAAAGTGCATCAGACTGATAGCAGTAACTCTGACAGTCACATAACGTCTCTTCACAAATGGACACTGGCTAGCAATTGTTACAGAACGTATGCAATCCATATAAATCAGTTCCAATGTTAACATAAGCACAGATATTCCAGTAAAAGAACAGAATTAAATTACTGTCCTTGTACCAATTTGTAGTGTACACCAAAACTAAAAATGTTACTGCTATATTATTAGCAAGGGATTTAAGTGCTTCTAAATTACACAGACATGTGCTGCCGTCAAAACTAAGGGTGGAATTTTTCAGTAAATTTGCTACAAGAATGAAGACCACCAGCATGTTCCATGTGGAGACAACACTACACCTTCAGGGGGAAAGGACAGAAAAAGTCAGGAAAGGACAGAGATCGAGTAGGCATGCCTGGCTTTTCTTGCGCTCCTTTGTGGGAAGGCACCAAAACAGTCTGTACTCGAAAGATCTTGCATTACCGCTCAGATAACACTAGCAAGTCTCACTGAAAATCAAAACTATCATGGCTGTGGAAACTGTCGGTGGTTTCGGCACGCCTGCTAAATTTGGGAAGTGCAACAGGGAGCTCACCACAGCTCAGGAGGCTTCCAGAGGATGAACAAAAGGCACTGCTCCGATACCAGGACTTTCATACCTAGCTTGCTGCAAACAAGTCACAAGAGCCTATTATAGCTGAAAGTAATACTCAATCTAAATACAAGGTTCACTGACAGCTTTCCCTGTAACGGTCTGAAAAGCGCTTTCATTCTTTCAAATTGAAATGCACCATAAAATACTTAATCTTTACTGCACTACATAGACATTATAGAAATGTCAGATATTAAATATTTAACATTTCCCATTAGCAGGATCCCACTAATGGAAGCACTATAAGAAGTAGGAAGCTAAGTTTTGTAAATGCACGCTCTTTTTCCCTCAAAGCTACCTATTGCCATCTCTTTCATGTGTCGTTACCACGCAATTTTTTTTATATATACTTTTGGTCTTCTTGCATTTTATGTCATCTAATTAGATAAATTAGCTTATGGTTGCCAATAGGGCAGAGACAATCCCAGCCTTTCCCCAAGGGCATTAAGATGATGAGGAGTAAAACTTAATTTATAAGCAGCTCTCTAAGGAAAGAGACATGCCTGCTACAAAACTGACCTCTTCTTCCTCCTTTTGTCCTCCATCCCACAAACAGCAGAAGTACAGCAGAACCACCAGAGCACTGTACAGACCCAGGGCACATGACTCTTAGGATCAGCCAATTATTTACAGAGAATTTGAAGTGAGGATGACACAATTTTGTCCCATTTTAATGTTCTTTACACTTCATTATTAAAAACAGCATAGATTTAGATAAAATGAAAAGTACAAGAGGTCACGCCAAAGGCCCACACCCACCTAAACCCAAGAGGAGTTACAGCCATGATACCTCCACTCTTAGTAGCTTGAATATCTTGACATTTTGAAGACGACCTAATTTTTTTTTATAGATTCGTAGGACAACTGGGTGGGAAGGGAGGTCTCTAGTCCACCCTCCTGCTCAAAGCAGGGCCAGCTTTGAGGTCAGACCAGGCTGTTCAGGGCTTGATCAGATCAGGTCTTGCAAACCTCCAAGGATGGAAACTGCACAACCTCTCTAAGCAACCTGCTCTCTGCTTCTCTCTTTCCCACTATTTAGTATGTTTATATAAACTTGGAATTAACAAGAAAATAAATACAAATGCAAATACATGTCAGATTTTTACTTGCCTGCTTGCTTGATTGGAGGACCTCTGGTCCTCCAATTTTAAAACTCTGAGCTACAAATACATACACAGATGAGGACACTGATAGCTTACGGAAAGTTATTAATAATGCAATACCAGGGGGAGAGGGAAAATTCCATCCCAACATCAGACAGCTTTTCCAGTCACTGCCAAGTAAATCTGTTTAAGGAGGCACTTTTATTAGAAACAAAATTTTACTCAGTATCTGACAAGAGTCTTGACTTAAAATGCGCATTTCCTACCATTTACATGGAACTACCTCATTTTACCTAGAAACTATTATACATGAAAAAAGTGCCAGCTGTTAGAAAAGAAATACTAGGCAGCCTTACCAGTACACTAGGATAACAACAGCTTGTGGCTTACTAATCCATCAGCTAAACCAGCAAAGGAATCAACAAAAATCAGGAATTAATATAACCAAGTGTGGAGGAACTGGACTATTGCTGTTCCACACAGTGAAAGCAGCTATTTTCACGCTCTCTGTTCCTATCTTACTGGCCTTTTCAGAGATGATTGACTGTGATTAATCCATCTCACTACCAGAATACCATCTTCTTAACTCTTCTTTAAAATGTGCCCGAGACCATTGAGCATGCAATAATGACTATAACATCTCTGCAGTGCTGAAGGCACCCGGTTCTACACTTTTGATTCCTAAGCTGTAGCCACTGATGTGCAGCCACAGGACTCAGATAAAACAGGAATGATGCTGGCTGGAAAGAAGAAGTGACCAGATTCTATAGAAAGTCTTCTGTATTCCCTCCAGTGAAGTAGAGCACACATCTGCCAACTTGAATTCTTAATCCAGAGGTTTTGGAAGGAGTGACATAAAGCAGCTAGCTCCGCAACAGAGCACCTGAACACACGAAGGCAACAGGACAGACACTGTGTACATATTCATTTCTATGAATCTGAATTACTCACCTTTGTCATACTAAATAGATTTGCCCCACTCTGTTTCAAAGGTAGAAATCCCTTCAGAATCACAAAGTTGGCAGGACCACTTGAGGTGGCGTTGCCAGGCTGTAGCTGAGGCTGCTAGACCATGTTCTTGAAAGAAAAATTTGTTTTGGAAAATAAGACAGTTCAAAACTGTTGACCTTTTCCCAAGTTTCTGTATGTCTTACTTTGCAAAGTCCAGCTTTTTCCCCAGGGTTTGGAACGGGGTAGAAGGAAAGACAGAAGACAGCAAACTTCATTCCAAAACAGAAAAAAAAAAAAAAGTGTTGAAAATCAAGTATGCCAGTCAAATATTTAGCAATGATTAACTTGGGCTGAGCACCTTTTTACACCTTTGCAGCTAAAATAAATCTAACAAGCCCATGAAGATTAATGTCAATTAACTCCACCCTCACTTTAACTGTAGCACTTTCCTCTCTCTCTCACAACCCCAAGAAGAAAGGCAAACTTAATTAAAGAGGAATTCTTTTCCTTTCCAAGTTCATCTAAAGGTCACTTCACTATACACATAACATAATACTTGATCCTCTCTCCATTTACTGTAAAATATATTTTTTCATTGAAGTTCACTCAGTAGGTCTTTTTGAGAATGTCTGTAGAGACAATGTTTTAGAACAAAATATGACATCAGACATAAAAAACATTTCTGTTCCATGGCACAACGCTATTTTACATCTGTTACTGCGGTTGTTAATCCTAATTTTAATGAGTTTATAAATAAGAAAGAGACCTAACTTCTTAACACGCTTGTTGTTATAACACTTCCGCTAGCCTCATAAACTCAACAGTAAACTGCATGTATACAGTTAACAGTAATTAGGCAAAAAGTGCCCTAATTATGCTCTCTGTCCTTCAACTAATTGGAGACATTACCATGACTAATAAATCCCTGAGCATAAGTGACTAATGACTAAATAAGTCTTTCCAACATCAGGCAACATGCTCATCTTCAAATATTAATATCATAGGTCTTTGTTCTCCTTTAAATATAAGAAAAACCAATCAGATGAGCTTTAGGTTGCAATTAACATCTGTCAGGTTATGTAATGAACCAGAAAAAAATGGACACAGTGAGAGTGCTCCTACTGCTGTTTGCACCATGCGTATCAAAGTATTACACGTAGAACTACACATACAGCATAGGTGGGAGCATTTAAACACAGCCAGGGATTAATTTAGTTGTCTGTTCCCAGGCTCCTATTCTGACCAGGCACACCTGAGGGTACCCAGTCCTCCAGGTGGGGTTGATTCATAGGGAACCTGTAGACTTCTGGAGAAGCGGTAAGAGACTGGGCTGGGAAACTTTGTTATCTTCACCGACATCTCATGCCTGTGCACAAGCAACTCAGTCAAGCCCTCAGTGACGGTGAGGTTTAAACACCACTGCACAGTAGCTCTGTCTATTTGGAGATACGGTGTTGCTTCCATACAAGGAATGCTCTGATGATAATTTAATAAATAAACAAGTAATTGAGAAGGACAGTCAGTATTTCACATAATTTCTATACAGAAAGAGCTGAAAGGAACATAACATTTTCATTTTTGCCTTACACAAGCCAATGAAAACCATGAGACTAGTTGTGTTAGTTCATTTAGCTGAGGATCTTCTCCAACAGCAGCCAAAAGCGGTTGCCTCGGGACTTTTACCAATACAGGGGTGGTCACAGTGACACTTCTCTAAATCATGAAACGTGCCTTAAGACAACTGTTATTCACTGTTCATGCTTTCCGGTATATTACATTTATGTCCTTTGTCTAGGTATAATACAATTTAATTTTTGTTTTCCAGTACTTAAAAAGAAATTACTGGTTTTTCTCAACTTTCAGACAAAATGGTAATGTTTCCCAAATTGTAAACATGGGAGAATACTTTGTTAGCAACAATACAACTTCAGAGGATTGTCAAAATACTGCATTTAACCAGACAATGCTTCATAAGAAGTCAGTCAAGACAGACAAGGTTTCCAGGGAAGGTTTCCAATCTGTAAGACATCTAACCAGACCCTACCTTACTGCAGAGCACCAAAGACAATATGCTCGTATGTGGTAAAAGAGCATGTTTCATGGTCTCATCAACAAGAGTTCAGAGGTCATGTGACCTAGCCAAATCCCATACACGAGAAAAGACCTAGAGCATTGCTGAAAAACAAAACATGGTCACTGACACCCCCACGTCCAGAGGGGGTGATTTTTGCAGATACTGATGATGATTCTAATTCAGAAGCTAAAAAAGTAAGTACTTAAGCACATGTCACGTGCAGGACCAGGTATAGAAGAAAATCTGAACTCTAGAAGGATGATAGTGAGGGTTTCTGTCTCAGTGCCTGAGACAGAAGAAACTTCCTTACAGAGCATGAAAAATGCAGCTTCAACATGGTAGGAATCAGCAATTACTCTTATCTCAGCAATTTAAAATATATATTTACATATTTCCTTGGATCTCCCTAAGATAAAACAAGGGCCTCAGACAGACTTGTAGTATCTTTCAGAAGCTGAAAAAAGGCTGGAACTCCTGCACGTATACAAATATTACTTCTTTTCAGTAGCAGCAATAGCAGCAGGACCACATCATCATGACTGCTAGAATAGGACACAATTACATTTTTCTTCAAAAGATTTTCTTGAAAGCTTTCTTCCACTGCTAGCTGTCAGGGCTGCACGGTTTAAACATCTCTCGAGATTTATTTTCCAAACTTGATGGCTGACTTCATACTCATCAATTCTATTACACTTGTGCAGAAGTGAACTCCCTTTTGCATTTCATCATCAGCTTCTTCACTGATATGCTTTATTCATCACAGAAAATTTCTGGAAGATAAGCGTAACTGCAAGCAAAGAAACACAGCTACTGAAAATACGTCTCCAGAAAGCATTACTTGCTCTTCTTAATCCTGTGGGATTAAGTCACTGATGTTGTATTCCTTCATCTTCAACCTTCCTAAACTGGTTTAGTTGCTCTCTTGACAAAAAATCTCTTCCCCCCCCCCCCCCCATTCCATTTCAGATGCTTTTATCAATCTATTTCCCCCTCCTTCTGGCTTGCCAGACTCTGGCATATTCTTTTGTCTGTCAAAATGTATTTCTCTCTCCCACTGAAAAATGTTTTACTTACTCCCTACATCTTTTTTTCCAGTATACCTACCACAGACTGTTAGATGGATTCTTCTTCTGGATGCACATACTGTCTTGTGCTCTTCGCCATCTCTAATCTCATAATTTGTCTGCCTATTTATAATTTCCTGCCCTGTTTCCTCTTTTCCCTCTCCTTCCTAAGTTTTTACAAAAGGGATGAATCTGGACATTAAGTCAGCTGTAAAATTATCAGGGAAAAGTGTGGAAAAAATATTAGAAATTCTTATACAGAAAGAAACATTAGATTTTTAGGACAAGCTACATAAAGAAGTTCAATTAGTATTAAATAAGTAAAGCTTTGATTAAAAAAAAAAAAAAAGAAAAAAGAAAAAAGAACAATCACAGCACTAACAGAATAAAAGCAGGTACCTCTGCTGTTCATTCCCTGTAATGAAAAGTGTTGCCTACATATTTGAGTGTTTAGACTATCCAACTTGTGGTATCTTAATACATATCACAAGCGTCAGGTGATCAAGCTCTTTTGAGTCATTACAGCTTTGAAGTACATCTCTGAAAGATATGAAACATTTTCTCCCACACACAATAACTTCAGTACAATTAATTCTAGTCCCAGCAAGACCTTCACTTAAAAACATTATCACATTTCTTATAAAATGATCTTCAACACCTCTGTGATACTAATATAACAAAAACTTACCCGAACAGAAATTACTGAACAATACAGACAGATTTAACTCTGAACACTTAATAAAGGCACAACCTGACTGCAAAGAACATTTATAGAAATCTGAATTTTTAGTGTTAAGAACAACAGGTATTATTAAAGATGTATTCCAGAAAAACAATTTTGTTCTGAGGTCCATACAATTTGCTCTCCTCCAAGTCAACTTTCAGATAATGCTACATATTATTTGAAAAGACACAGGTTAAATTTGTTATTAATTCCAATGGCTTTTAAAGATCTCACAAAAATAATCAGCTGGACTTACAGCATCACAGATATTCTTTATCCATCACTCCTCTCATATAATACAGAGTTAATCTTTTCTCCTTGAAAGTTCATCCAAATATTGATATGCTCAGACCAGTATAACTGCTGCCTCTACTCCTATCAGGTTGCAGCCCAGAAATCAATTGAAAATTTTCCTCACATCTGTCTAGCCAAGTAGAGGTAATTCTCTATGCCAGTTCAGAGCTGCTGGATTCTCAGACATATTCGACTTGATTAGTATAGTGATATTTTATCAAATAGAAGATTTGACCATCTTAGTAAAAATAGCTCTTTACCTCCATATGTGGTCACAAAAATATTCTTCCCAATTTTGTAGACCTGATGGAGACAACTACCTGTTCCTGCACCCCTCTCTTCTATGCTATACAATAGAGAGCAAGAACCTTGCATGAGTAAGATAGCAAACCATACCCCCCCAAAAAAAAAGAAAACAGAAAAAAAGAAAAGAAACCCCAAGTTGATTCCGACCATTTTCCACAGAATCATGCAATTTAGAAGGGATCTTTGGAAGTGGACTTCTACTCAAAGGAGGGACACCACTGAATTCAGACCAGGATGCTTAGAGCTTAGTCCAAACAGGTCTTTGAACACTCCATGGACAGAGATCCCACAACCTCACTGTTCCACTGTTTAATTATGCTCACAGTGAACTTTTTTTCTTTATACCTAGTTGGGATTTCCCCTGTTGCAATTCATCACCATTGTTCCTCATCCTCTTACCATGCACCACTGTGAAGAGCCTATCTCTGTCTTCTTGATCACCTCCCCATAAGTGCTGGGGGCTGCCATTGGGTCCCCCCAAAGTCATCTCATCTCCAGGCTGAATAACCATCTCTTCACAGGGCAAGTGCTCCTGCCTGACCAGCTTGGTGGCCCTCTGCTGAGCTCCGTCCAACTCAAACCCAAAACTGGATGCAGTACCTAGATGCAGTTTAACAAGTGCAGAGTACTTGTTAAGTGAGGGAGATGATCACTTCACTCAACCTCCTGAGAGTGCACCTGGCCACGCAGCCCAGGAGGCTGGTGGCCCTCTTTGCTGCCCAGGCGCCATGCTGTCTACCAGGAACTCCAGGTCCTTTTTGGCAGAACTGCTCCCCAGCCAGCTAGTCCCCAGTCTGTCCTGCTGAGGGGGCCTTTCCACCCAGGTCCAGCACTTAGCATTCATCCTTGATGAGTTTCATAACGTTCTTATCAACCCATTGCCCCAGCCTCTCCAGCTCCCTCTGAAGAGTGGCCCTGCCCACAAACATATGAAATTGGCAAAAAAAATCTTTCAACGTGGAAAAAAATAAACTATCTTCAGGAAAGGCTATGCTAATATCATTATTCTTGATGTTCTAAGCAGTTCTTGTTCCACCCCAGAGAAGCAAGGACACACTTCTCCCTTCTCTTTCCTCACATCAATTATTCCATGCTCTGATTACAAACTTGCCAGTTGTGTCGTGTGTTTTGTTTTGGCTTAGAAAAGCTGGGTATCTTATTGATCATAACATCCCGATTCAGCAGTGTAAGTAAACGTCTTCCTCTGTTCTGAGAAAATCATTACCACAATATCTTAAAGCAGTTCTTTGCCTAGGAAAGTACTTGAAAGTATCCATTATCTTCAGTAAGTAGGTCTTTCCTTTCTTCTAGCACAAACATTGCTAATGCAACCTGAAAAATTAGTAGAGGTCCTTATGCCAGCTATATTTTAATCTATGAGATCAAGAGCATTTTGTCATTGTAAAATTTTCAACCAAATATATATTCATCTTCCTCTATGTGACGGATGTCTTTTAAGGAGACCCTTTCAGCCACTGCATGCAACAAAACCTAAAATTTATCAGGAAGATAAGGTAGGCCTTAGGACAATCTGTACTGCCTTGACTGAAACTGAAGTTTAAACCTACTAAAATTCTTTGGGAGATTTATTTCAGATGGATTTGAATGAAACCTAGAAATGTAAATTGGTAAGACTTTGTGGGTTTTGGCCAGATCATGCAATCAAATAATTAAAATGTGAGGAGCTGTATACCACTGTTCATCCAGACCAAAAAGAGGGGAATAAATGAAGATTCAGAGAACAGAAGATAAAAGGGTCACGATAGCAAATTATAGAGCCTAGGAAGATATAACTGAAAAGGGACAAATGGTATTAAATAAAGGATAAAAAATCCCCAGACTGCTAAGGAAGGACATGATGATGAAAATGCCTCTCCTCTCTAGTTATCTGACACGTGTACTAACCACAGCAGTATCAGATCTCCTGGGAGTTTCAGAGTAGGATCGTCACACAAAGACAGATGCATATAAATCCACGTGCCACGTGTCAGCAGCCCATTCAAGAGACTGCAGATCCCTATCTACACTTGACTGATGAAAGGTTAATTGTCATCAAATTCAGAATGAACTGATAGATTGGTGATAGGTTAAGTGCTTTGATCCAAGAAACACTTTCCATAGTGGAACTAGACTTGAAGCAAACCTAACATAAATGAATGCTGAGAACCATAACCTCAATAAAAAGGAGTTACTCTAATTAAATGCCATCCCACAGTCACTATAGCTTTCATCAAATTGTAAAGTCAACTTTGTTAGATTTCTACTTTAAAACGTCACCAGCATCTCAAGAAATACATAAAATTAGTTCTCCTTTACAGGCATTTTCAGTCATTTATGTTGCTGGTATTTCAACATATTCATGTGAACAATTGTTCTAGCACAATTCATTGCATATTTCCTGCAAAATCTTCAGGTAACGAGGAATCTACTACATCACTTCACAAAAACAAGCTTATTTGAAGCACTTCCAAATTCTGGTAGACATGTGAGCAAGTATCAGACTTCTGCCACAGAAGGCAAAGAAATATGTATAGACTGATGTAGCAACAGAATCAGAGACTTGCACTGAACTACGTACCTTAATTGTGGCATATAGGTGAATCTGGCTTAAAATCATAGAAAAAGCCACACAACTACAATAACCAGGCAATGACAACGTGTCCCCAGAAGAAACACAGTGAATGGGTTCTACTGAAATTTTAGTGTAACCTTCCCTAGGCAATTATGGACTAATCCAAAGGTCAAGGAAATTAATGAATAATTGTACGAAGAGGTGAATATAGTCCATAAGGACTAACTTAAATACCTAAGCCATATAATAAAAAGCTTGCTCGCTCTCTCTCTCTGCAAGCAAAAATTATCTCTTCTCCACTGTAATTTAGTGTGTATTAAATACAACGCATATCTTTTACAGCAGGACTATTCCACCTCTTGTCAGATGGTGACTAAAACTTCTGGCTGCCAGAGCTGTCCCCCGCTGGACGCAACCTGCAGGCCAGCAGTTGGGTGGCCCTCACTGACAAAGCAAGAACCTCAGATACAGGTCCACAGCTCACCTGCAGCGGGTCTGACACAATCCAGTACATATCCAATGGCTGTATGCTGGTGAGACTCAGTATTTTTCTCCCCCATGGAAAACACTGATGCTGCTTTATTTTTAAAAAAAATCTACATAATTTATTCTGCTATGTAAATATGCCATCGGGCAATGAAGAAAAAACCTGTCATGACTTACAGTGACAGAGCTAGCTACCTAAATTAATACTTAATACTACAACTTTTTCCTAATATAAATTCCATCCAGCTGGACTTTATTCTGAAAGATAAATTGGACCACAATATTACATTAATAATAGTAAGACTTAATAATAATAAGACTTAATCCCTCATGGTACGCTGCCTTAAATAAGAAAACCATATTAAATGAAAGGACTAACAGTCTATTTAAGACCTCAAATAATTTAATCCAAAGGGGACGTATCTCGTGTCACCTCAGATCTTTCCTATTCACTATGTCTGTCTGTCTTCCTGAAAATAAGAAAAAATAACTGCATGTAAATTTAGAAACACAGGATTAGCCAGTCCCACCTTACCAGAGATGAATGCAGTGACACAGAAAAGAATCTGAGGATCAAGGCAGAAAGCAAAAAGAACATGAGATACACCAGGGCAGTACTGGAGCTAATCCTGGGACAGAGTATCTCAGCAGTATGAAGCTGTAGTAGGGAAGCAATATTCTGTGTGTATCTGCCATTAATGAGGCTAATATTTATATAATCTACCCATTTTTAAAGTCTGCTTTTCAAAGAAAAAATGGAAAGAGTTTACAAAATAGTTAAACAAACAATTTGCTATTTTCTGAAGAAATGTAAATAGCTTGGTTTACTTATCTGAGAGAAAAATGCAAGCTGCTATCAAGTTACCAACTTATCAACTACATATACCAGGGAAATAGTTCTAAACAGTTAGTATGACTGCATCATGGGTAAATCCAACTCAATGGAAATTTCCACTCTGCATAGAGTATCTCCAATTGCGACACATTTGTATAAAACTTTCATTTTCAACTAGATCATTCATCCTGTAACAACTGATAGGTATATAACTGCACTGCAGCTTCTCATCTCCGAGAGGTGAAGAGGTTTCTCTGAGCAAATAATCTACAACATTTCATGAAAGACTAGGCTGGAAAGAGAAAGACAGCAGGATGTTTTCTGACCAAAATGTTGATTCCTTTAAGAATTTTCAGGACTCATTGGACATGTTCTGAGTTCTCATCAAGGCAAAACTTGGCAGAGGGACACAGGGCAAGGAAGAGCTTTGGTGACTGGCTTCCCTGCTGAAGAGCAGCCGGCTGTAGACCACACTCTGCTCCTGAAGAGCCACTGCAGCCATGGGTCCGCACCATGAGGTTGCCCTGTAGAACCAGAGGTATGAACCAAGACCTGGATTTCACCACTGAGAGATGGACATGGGATCCAGTGGCTAAGCCCACTGTAGCAAGTAGGACTGGGAAAAAATCAGTGGTTTTCCAGCTGGCACAGGAAGACAGGAGATTCACTGGGTGGAAGCCAGAGAAACTTCAGACAAGAAATACTGTACAATACTTCATAGGATTCCTCCTCCTCAAATCTTTATGCAGGGACTTAGAACAGTTATACCAATGCAACAAACCTCATGCAAAAGCCAGGATAAATTCTCCAGTTTTGTTTATTCTGATACCATATTGGATTATCACAACAGATCCAACTGACCTGAACACCCACAAGTGAAAGCATATTTTAGTAACTATTTCTTTTCATCTTTGCCATATCACTGAGATTTCCCTCCTCTTTGAAACAAGTTCTCTTCTGGTCAACTCCTGATGACCTTTCCATTCTCTCCAGTTACCTCTATCAGTTCAGTGGTTTTGCGTGATTTACCATTTTAAGTTTAGATATGTAAAATCAAGTTTTTACACAGGCCGGTAGGCCACTGGACCTACCACACTATTTTCGGCCTTATTACAAAAGTTCGCCTGTGTAAAAATGCAAACCCGGGACTTCTGTGTCATCTCCAGGTTAATTCAATTGCATCTGAGTTACTCCTTACAAATTATTACCATTCATAGAAATTGTTAAGAAATAAACGTTACTGTCACTGTCATCTACCACCCTTTGAAAGGTTCCTGTCAGTGTGCTACATACTGTCATTTATAATTACCACTTCTCGCTGCTGCTCTTTACCAAATAAGTTATGATATCGTTATTTTACCTAGGTACATGCTCGACTTAGTATGCAGTGCAAGGAAGGGCTATGCGGGTAACTAGAAAAGGCCTAATACTCTTCTCTCATAAATGTTACTACAAAAACGGCTCTTTGCCCATGTTGGGAGACGCTTGCCTTTGTTTTTCTGCGAGTTCAACGCACAGGACTTAAGTGTATGTATATATATATATATATATGATAGCACAAACCAAGGCAACTCACTTTAAAACAGTGCGTATGCCAAGTCCACTCAAGTAGTTCTACCTGCTGGCCATAGAAACTAGATGTTGCATTTGACCCAGATTATTACAATTTCTCTACAACTTCAAAGATAAACCACAGATTCCCCAACCCCCTTGTAATTTAATCTGGGGCCAGACTTATGTATCCAGAAAAAAGTTGACCAGAGTCAATGAGTGCTCACCTTCCACCTTTTCTGTCCAGCTCAGAAAGGCTTGAATTGGTAGCAAGGGTGCTCTTATTTAATTTCAGGCGTATTTAAAAAATCAGGAAGTTAAAAGTAATTGAAAATGTAGTTCAATTATCTATGAGAGTCTTTTTTTAATGGATTGCCATAGTTTGAAGGCTTCCTTTAAA